GAGAGTTTCAAACTGTGCTAGGACCAGTAGAGGTTGTGGAGGAAATTTTATTTAAAAAAAAAATTTTTTTTTTTGGTCCTTTTTGAGACCAGCCACACCGTGCTCAGTCAGTGAGCCCTGTGAGCGAACCGGTTATCTCTATATAGGAACCGAACCCGCGGCGGGAGCGCTGCTGTGCTCCCAGCACCGCACTCTCCCGAGTGCGCCACGGGCTCGGCCCAGTGGAGGAAATTTTGACACAACCGTTACCCATGGAGGTGGAGGCTACACCTTTCCATGAGGGACAGGGACCTATCACAGAGCAAGCGTGGCATACAGATGGCTCTAGCATGGGAACTTTAGCATCGTGGACAGCTGTTGCTGTCTGGCCCTTAACAAACACCATGTGGTATGAAAATGGCACAGGGCAAAGCAGTCAATGGGCTGAATTGAGAGCAGTATGGATGGTGATAAAAAATGAGCCTGGGCCATTAACCATCTGTACTGACAGCTGGGCTGTGTACAAAGGTTTAACCCTTTGGATCTCTACTTGGAAATATCAGTGGTGGATGGTAGGCCACCAACTCCTGTGAGGACAAGCCATGTGGCAAGAGTTATGGGAATTGGGGCATGAGAAAGAAGTAATTCTTTTCCATGTCGCAGGACACTTCCCCTTAGCCAGTCCAGAAAATGATGAAGCCGATGCCTTGGCTAAGGTAAGATGGCTGGAGAGAGCCCCAGCTGCTGATGTAGCCCAGTGGTTACATCGATGAATGCAGCATGCTGGCAGCAAAACCATGTGGATGGCGGCTCAAAGATGGGCCTTGTGTATAAAATGGGAAGATGTAGTGAATGTCTGTAGTGCTTATCCAGTATGTACTCAAGAGAGTCCACACCCCTGGTGGATGATAACTTGAGGAAGGCTGTCCCTGACTTGATGGCAAGTGGACTTTGTTGGACCACTGCCAAGGCTAGAGAATTTCAGATACATCTTTACTGCTGTCAATACGGCTACTGGTCTTCTGTTTGTATGGACTTGTAAGGCCCCAGACCAGGTAAACACTGTGAAGGCACTGAATAGCCTTACAGCTATGTATGGTCGGCCTGTAGTTACAGAGAGTGATAATGGAACCCACTTTACTGGACATGGGGTTCAGAAGTGGGCCTCCCAGTTGTCCATTCAGTGGAAGTTACATGTTCTGTATTATCCCCAGGCAGAG